TATTTATTTATTTTATTTTTACATCACTGAATGTTGGGTTAGAGATTCAAATTCCTGCGAGTAAAGCCAGTTAATGTGTAAACGTATAACCACTCAGACAAAGAGACGATAGCAACATCACTTAATTCATAAAGATTGACAAAGGAATTTAAATGATATGTTTTCGAGAAAAAGATAACAGATTTGTTGGGTTTGAATTGAACTTGCCAATATCCTTAATTCAAAACATAATAATAATTATGACTTTGATAGATCTGTTAAGATGCATTTCTTGCAGAAATAGCAGTTTATTTAAGAGGAACAAGAATTTTGAAACCAAAGGCCATGAACCATGGATTCTTCCAGAAAATTATGTAGAGAAATTGTTCAGAGTGACAATGGAGAAGTTTTTTTTACCAATTCGTTAACCAAACTTGGGACTGACAGGAAGAGAGAGAGTTGGAAAGGAGAAGATAATGATAATGATAATGTATATATTTTGAGAAGAGACAGCGTGTGCTGTATTCTTGAGATGAGGGAGAATTGGAAATTTTTTGTTACGCGTGTCATTTTATCTATGGAATGGTACATCAAGTCAGCGAAGTGACATGGAATACCTGTTACACTAAATACTTTCTCTATAGTATGTCAAAGGCCCATCCCCAAGTTGCCCTGAGGATGCCCACTTCAAGCCCATCATAGGCTAGGGAGGTAGGTAGCTGGCTGACCATACCCGCTTTATAATAGCCTTTTAACAACTTTGTCGACTGCCACAAAGAAGCACCAACCATGTTTGAGGAGTCATAATGATTTTTCAATGATTTCCCAATTCTTGAAAAATCCCCAGTCTTAGGCGTGCGGGCATGAGCGGTGCTGGGCGCGCTTCCTAATGCACATTGGGACTACTTGGGGCCAAACTTCCAAGCCATGTTGGGGCGCTAGGCCAGTTGACTTGGAATACGATGCCAAACTAATGTAGGCACTTCCAAAGGCATGGACTTGAGCACAACAAAGGCGCATGCAAGCATCACAATGTTGGAATTGAAAGTGTCAACTTGTGACAGTTTGTTACAATTAAAGCTAAATCTCCATCAGAGCCTAAGCCTTTTAAGTTCTATAACTTTTGGGTTAAAAGTCCTGACTTTTGCTAAAGTATCTAGTTAGAGGCTCCCCTATATACCAATTGTGCTCTAAGCTCAAGACTCCGAAAGTGGAGCTTAAGAAGTTTAGTAAGTCTCATTTCATTAAATTTATGTTAAGGTAGTAAAGGCAAAAGCTCTCCTTGAGCAGACTTAGTTGGCCGTCCAGTCTCATCTTGACCATTCTTCTTCGATTGTTACTGAAAGGAAGGATTTATCCTCCTATTCCTCACTCTTGTTGGCTGAGGAAGCATTTTATAAGGAGAAAGTTAGAGGGAATTAGATTAAGCTTGGAGATCAAAAAACTGCCTAAGATAGCCATATGGTTTAGAATGTACACTTGCTCTAGCTTGCTAGTTGTGAAATTTACTGGCCTTTAAAATTAAAATGTGAACATTGATATAAATGTTTGAATCGACTCCTCACTCTGTTGGAATGTGTCCCACATCACCTGAAGTTGTCCTATCTATGCTGGTTATAAGGTTTCAATTTCTCTCTCCTTGATACCTGGGTTTCAATAAGTGTGGGCTGGGCTTTTCAATTTGGTATTAGAGCTTGGTTGGGGCTGTGATTAGTGTGCCGTTTGTCTGACTACTATATGTTGTGGTCCAGAAGGATGTGTTGGAATCTGTCCCACATTACCTGGAGTTGCCCCATCTGTGCTGGTTATGAGGTTCTAGTTTCCCTCTTCTTAATACCTGGGTTTTAAGGAGAAGTGTGGGCTAAGCTTTTCAATTACTCCTCCCGGGCCTTATAACTTGGCATCAGTCTTACTCACTAAGCCTGAATGACCAATGTGTTCTCCATTGACTGCAAAACAGAAAAGTGGGAGAGGGACACAAGAACAGAACGTGCTACGAGCACAGGAACGGAAGGTGTTGCAGGCACATGAACAGTTGTAACGGAACCGAGGCAAGTGCCTTGGTGCCAAAATTGAATTTAAAATGTTATGTCCAAATTTACCTCTCTCAGTCCGAAATTTCTAACAGAGTTAACTGTTTGAAATTGCCAAATAACTGCCCAGCAGTTACAAATCCACAACTGCCGTTCAGATTCAAAAAAAAAAAATTTATTGTAGAAAATATTTATTTTTTCAAGCAACTTCTTATTGACTTTCTTTAGCTTAAAGAAATCTTTGGACATACTCTCATCTCTAGTCATTTGGATAATTTTTTTTACGCCTTCTTTGGAACAAAATCATCATCAAGATCATGTGTGAGAATCACTATAACCGAGGAATTATCTCGACTCTCTGATACTATGACACCAATAAAAGCGAGAAATGGTTTATGAAAAATATGAATCATCTTGTTTGGTTTTGATCGATTTTCTAAAAATTGAGTTTTAATTTTTCATGAATTTTTTTAATATTTTAAGTAAATTTTTTACTTTCTAGATGCACATAACTTGAATGCACCTAAAAAGTAAAACATTTGTGAAAAAATATTTTTAAAATTCAATAAATACACAAGAATATGAAAATATAAATGAATTTTTGTGTTTTTTTGTATTTGATGAATTTTTTAAAGATTTTTTTCCATAAATATTATACTTTTTAAGTGTATTTAGATTAGGTGTATCTAAAAAATAATTTTTTTAAAAAAAATATTAAAAATTTTTTACTAAAACAAAAAATACAAAACACTAAAAATTAAATTTTCAAAAAATTAAATTTAAAAAATTGAAACCAAGGTGGTACTTGGGGATTACCCTGCTGCAACCATCCAAAGTGCACAAAAGAGTCTTTTTAATTTTTCAGTTAAAATGTTTACAGGAAATTTTTAATTCAAGCTGATTAAATTCAATTTAGTTCTGATTTAATCAACCAATTAAATATATAAAAAAATGCGGAAAATAAATTGAGCATCCATGGAGAAATGGTGATTTAACCTGGAAAATCTCCGTATTTGGGACAAAAAAACCTTGGATGCAAAATTCACCAACGTTCCAAGATCAATTACAAAGCTTACCATGATCCAAAGACACATGCGTTCAAACAAAGAAGTTTATATTTCACAACAATGCTCTGTATGTTCAACCAGAATGGCTCTCATTTGAACAGTAAATTTTTGTGTTCAAACGGTTAGCATAATGTCTAAAAAAAAAAAAAAATTCCAAACTAAAAAAACCAGTTCTCATTCGGATAGAAAACCTGCATTCGAATGAACCACTCTATTCATGCACAATCCCAATCAAGGGCAAAAGGAGGGGGACTCTTAGGCCCTCCAGAGTTTTGGGAAAGTACTGTTAATATGGGAAAGTACTTTATTGGTTGGATCGTATTCATCTAATGCACATTCTTTGTTTTGCAGTGATTGGAGAAACAGCAACTTTCTTGTCTGCCAATGACCTAACTTTTCTTTCGAATGGGGAATGGTAAGGATATAGGAACCTTGGATTTTTGTGCATGCTAAGGATCTTATTCATATGCATGCTAAGGATCTTATTCATAATCACATTTGCTAAAAAATTGGGTAAATTACATTTTGCACCTGTGCTCTTTGCACCAAATCCCACTTTGGTCCCTATACATGAAATCATGACAGTCAACCCCCTGCATTTCTGGTCAAGTGTCAGTGTCCTCTTTCTGTTACTTTGTTGTTGAAGTTTTTAACAAAATCTAGTTACCTGACAAGCATGTGACTACAAAATGAGGGAAGAATACGAAATGAGGAAAAGAGAGAAAGATCATCCCCATTTCCCATTATTACACACTCTCTCGTGTGAAAAGCATGTGAAAGTCATATAATACAATATATGTATGTATATTTGTTCATATGCTGAAAATAGGGATGAAGAGGCAATAAAATAGAACTTTTGAAATCAAAAGTGGCAGCAGAGAAAAATGAAGAGGAATAGACGGAAGACTATGTTACTGCAAAAAATAGAGTTTTGTGATTCCAATTTCTGCAAAACCCTAGTTCATCTTCTTAATCGTTCACAATTTGTGTTTTGTTTTAGCCGAATAAAGTCTTAATTTGATGTAAATTTTGGGACGAAATGTGTATAGGCGGGAAATGGAGGTGATTTTTCTCTTTTGCCCTCATTTCATAGTCACACACTGGTCACATGATTGGATTCTGTTAAAGACTTAAATAATGGAGTAACAGAATGGGAACACTGACACTTGACCAGAAGCGTGGGGGGGTTGATTGTCAAAATTTCATGTGTAGAAACCAAAGTGGGATTTGCTGCAAAATGCAGGGGTGCAAAGTGTGATTTACTTGAATTTTTTTTTTGCACATTATGAATCTTGTGTATTATCATATTTACAAATAGTCTCTTTTTTGTTTCTAATTTTTACAATGCTTCCAAGATTGTTTTTTATTCTTTAAAGAGTCATTAAGTTTGATTATATAGATGGATCATGCTGTCCACGTTATTTATTATTGTTTATTCTTTTCTTAATTTTCAAATTAAAAAAACTTCGAATTTCTGATAATATCCAAAGCTAAATTTTACATTTACCCTGACCCATCAACAATAAGATCTAGAACATTTAGAATAAGTTGCAAAATGCAGATGTGGTTGGATGAGATTCTGCTAAAACTACAGGAAAACTCCATTGGTAACATCCTTGAAAAATTGGTATTGATAGAATTGTTGTGACACTTAAGCAAGAATGGTGGAAATTGGATTTAGTTATGGTATTTAAACCGAAGCTCACGACTTGAAAGGGCTCTAGTACCATGTTACACAGACATAATGAAATCTTGTAGTCGAGTCTTATAGTCGGCCTGGGATGCCTCTGTAATCTTTATAATGTTAAAAGTCTTCTTCCTTCACTTATTTTCTTTTAGTTGTGGTAGCTTCCATGCCCTGATGTGTATAATACATTAATATGGGCAAGGCCCAGGCATGTATACTATATCTGAAGTACACAAATAAATTAACTACTGTCATACTTTTGCAGCTTGCAAGATATACTAGTGTGTAACCATTAAAGAGGGTACAGTGATTAAAGCTTTGGTTCTTAAGTGGTTAAAACACAAGTTTAAATAAAGTATGAGGACAGACACTTTGTGCAAGTTAAGGCCGAAATTTTCTTTGAAACCTCCGCTCTGCCAACCTTTACTAATAGAATGACCATTTATTTAAAATACTGATAAGATTGCCTCTCCAAACACTACATGCTTTTGAAGCAACTCATTGGAATGAAAAAATATTGACATCCTTGATAGCACCATTGTTGCAGCAAATAACTCATGTTTTATGTATACTTTATTTGTATATTAATACTTTGAGTTGGAATCTCAAGGATACAAGTTTTCTTCTGACATAACCCCCTGAAGAATTTAGATGGTGGGGAACTATAAGCTTGGTGATCTTGACCTGCAAATATGTCCGATGAATCTGTTCTGGATGCTATACTCAGTTTACAAGTATCCTCTTTTCCATGCTAACTCGGGTTACTTTCGGTAATTTAATTTACATGAGTTTATTAGTTCAAGTGTGTCCGTTTGTAATAAGGAGGAAGTTCGTGAGAGATAGAATCCACATCTACATTTTGCTTTTGTAGTTCGAATTTCACCTCTATACTTGTACAGTTTTATTGCATAAGAAAATAATAGATAAACATCCAAGGCTGGTTAACCTGCATCTCCAGATGCATAAAAATTGTGCTCATCACTTTTATGCAGAACATCTCATACAATTTAATGACCCTAGACACATACCCAATATAAATAAATAAATAAATAAATAAATAAAATGGATCATGAGCCACTTGCATGAACCTTATTGAAAACCCGAGGTATGTCTGGAAAATAGTTTGTTTAGTACTAGCTGTTGCCTAGAGTGATTAGCCTCACAATCATTTCTTTAAATTCCATGATATTTATTTAATTGGCTCTCCTCAATTACAGGATCCGTTATCTTCTTCTTGCTAGAATGTTACGATTAATTAGGCTCTTGATGCAAGTCCAGCGGTACCGTGCCTTTGTTGCCACGTTTTTGACCCTCATACCAAGTTTAATGCCATTTATGGGCATCATATTTTGCATTCTATGCATCTATTGCTCTCTTGGTTTACAGGTAAAACAGGTTCTATCTTCAACTGCTTCCATTTTGTTCCCTTGGCTTTTGTGTGTAGAGACAGTTTTTCATGTGGCCTTTGTCGTCCTAAATTTGTGCTTAGTTATGCTTAAGATTTCTGACATCTTTCACTTTCAGAACAAAACATGGAACTCCTTATTCATGTAATTTGAATTCCAAGTCATGTCAAAAGCTTTCATGTGGTCTTCAATTTTATTTCTTTTTAGTTGACTGATTGTCTCTGTCTGCAGTGTAAAATTTAACATAATTTGTCTTTCATGTGTCTCCTTTTGCTTGCAGATATTTGGTGGTCTAGTCAATGCTGGGAACCCCAAATTAGAAGGAACAGATCTTTCTGATAATGAGTATCCTATGCCATGAAGTTAAAAAGCATTTTAATACTCCTTCTGGGACATGCGTTATTCAATCCATAGTTGTTTTTGATAGAATATTAATGATTTACCTACATTCACCAAAGACCTACATCTCCAAGAGCTGACATTGTTATTTTCCTGTTCATTGCACTTTCTAAGGTGTTGTCTATGAGTTAAATTTTAGTTTTGTGACTCAGTTTTCTTGACAAGGGAAGCTACCTACTTTTCAATTTCAATGACTACCCAAATGGAATGGTGACACTTTTCAATTTACTAATAATGGGAAACTGGCAAGCCTGGATGCAGGTAACACTAATCTGTCACGATCATCTATATCTTCTCTTCATTCATACTGCTCTGTGCATGACTGAAGAATATGTCAACTTGTCTTTGCAGTTCACTTGTGATTTATGTTTACCTAGTTAACTAGTAAAAATTATGCCCTTTGTGGCTGGTTCTTATTTGTTCCATATCCTTGTTAGCAACCAAAGGTTTTGGTGCCTTGTTTATCTTGAGCTAACAATTAATCAGGATGGCGCGCCTTGCAGAGTATACAAAATTGTGTTTCCCACAGGACTAAATTGTAATGTGATGATACAAATATTCGATAGGGAAACACATGAATAATTTTCCAGTTTCACCAGAAAGGCTCTCAGTTTTTGGGATTGAAATTATATTTAGATTTTTTAGGGAAAAATATTGAAAAAGAAAATCAATTAATAGAAATTGCAGATGGGTTGGGATGAGAGGAGAGAGAGTTTGGCTTTGTAAAAAGAAAACTATTTGCAAAGAAAGAAATGGAGTGGGCACTAAGAAACATTGGCGCTGTTTGGGAAGTAGTTTTTTTGGTTTTTTTTTATTTTTTTCACTGAAAGACAAATTGGTTGCAAAACCAAAAAAAACAAATCCAAACAAAATATCATATCAAACCCCATAATCATTTCACTTTTTCTCTCACAAACATCACATCCAACCACAAAAAATCCCAACTATCTTCCCAAACACAAAAAAAAATTTCTCCAATAATATCCTACAACTAAAAAAACCTACAAAAAAACCCAGTTCCCAAACACCCACATTGTATTGAAGTATTGAATATGAAAAGGAAAAAAAAAAAAAAAAAAACGTAAAGAAAGAAAAATTCATAAAGCTGATGGTTGGGAAGGTGCTTGAGTCGGGGAAGAAACATGTCAAGTAAATGACATGAGCTTTTGGTAATAAAACTAACTTCCTGACAAACAGGCAATTAAGAAATATACACTTTGTATGCACTCTGGAAAATTTATATAATTTTTCTTTCTTTCTTTCCTTCTTTGTTTGTTTGTTTCTTTGTTTGTTTTTCTTTTTGGGCTCAAAATTAGTACTGAATTAAAGGTTGACATTGCCGTAGGTTATTGTTGACTCAAGATATGCTTTAACTACCTAACGTATTAAACTGCTTCCTGATTACACTTGTTTTCTTTTTCTTTTGTATATATATACATATAGAGTCTAGAACATCCACTTGCTGCATAGAAAAGGAGGCAAAAGTATATCACCTTTAATGTGTCATCAAGTATAATAGTGGTGACTGTTTAAAGATGAATTTGGCCTAGTGTTAATTAATTTTGTGTAAAAAAAGAAATACTGATTAACTTGGATTGTGTCTGTATGTGCTATAAAAGTTCAACCACAAAGATTATATGGAATTGTGTAGCCAGTTTTTCACTTACCAAAATACGAAACAATAATGTGTAGTTGTTGCCATTGTAATGACTTGTTGCCCTTTTTCTTTCGGTAGATAATTTTTTTGCCTTGTTATGGTGACTTATGAAGCACGGATGCGGGTACGGATTGTCACACCCCGAATTTACAAGGTCCAACCCACGATAAATAAACTCAAATAGTAATAAAAAGGGGTCTCTCCTATATATACATGATGATCATTCAATATATGAGGGTTTTCAAGCACAACACGAAATTCAAAAGTACTAACTATCAACTAAAATTAAAATGCCCTTAGGCTTACATCAACAAAAGAAAAATGGTGTAACCCTTAATATACATATGGCTTTCCGTCTTCAAATAAAGTCCCCGTGACCACAACCAAAAGAGCTATCCAAGCTCGTATCCATCTTCCAGGCCAACTCATAGTCGTGGTTCACCACCGTTACGTGAAAAGATTTTAACAATGTGGGATGAGCATCTACTCTAGTAGGGAAAATCTTTAATATCAATTAATATAATCCTATATATGTATATGATTATGATGCTCCACATTATACATATGTAATGTCTTTTTCTATTTTTCATCCAAAATACTTGAACATTTCCATGACCTCTTCATTTTATCTCAAAATTTATACCCTTGTTTATTCAACAATGAGTCTACTCAATTGTAATAACTTCCAACACTTCCATGATTCATAAGGAGTCTCAATACATGTACATAATCTATTAACCCATAATAGATTTCAACACACATATATCAACAATAAATCTCAAACACATATACATATTGTGGTCTCGCCAAGCCCTACCTAAACTCTCCCAATTTACCGGTTGCTAGGCAGAAGAAATATTGGTACACCTTTACATAGCACACTCCCACTTTACCGGTTGCTAGCCGGATGAAATTGGAACCTCTATACAACACAACACAATTTACCGGGTACTAACCAGAAGGAAATTGGAACCTCTATATAGCACACCACCACACAAAATTTGAGTGTATCTCAAATTATTCCCATTTATCAACGTTCAAGTTACATAATCACACCACTCATAAAATTCTTACATTGTTATTATCACATTAATTTCTACTTCACTAATCATTAACAATTGGGTTTCAATTCACCCCAGGTTGAAATATCTTCAACAATTTAATCATCTACCGATTGCCAACAATAGTTATCTCTATCAATAGTATTCCATCAAGGCAATACAAGATAATAATTCAACAATTTCTCATCATTTTCCAATATTTCAAAAGGGTTAGCACAATAATCATCAATTTCTAACATTTCCAATAAGTTCAATTAATAGTATTCATCATCAATTTCACACAGAAATTAAATTTCCAAATTTTCCAAATTCCCAAATTTTCCAAATTCATAGAACTCATGTAATCTAAGGCTTTTTCACAATATTAGGGCTTCTTCAAATTAAATACTCAAGATTCAATAAAGCTTTTGAAATTTACATTTGATAAAGAAAATTTTGGGAAATACTCAATACATACCAAATTATAGGTTTTCATATTACATGCTTTGAAATCTCTATCCATTCTCTAAATTTATGCAAGAAAATTCCACATCCATCTACAAAATCATATTAGAAGAGGAGAAGGAAGAGGAGGTTCAAATATTCAAATTGTTCCAAACGACGATAGGGTTGGGTAAAGTCTAAGCTCTCGATGCACTCTACAACTTTAATAAACAAATTTTGAACAATCTTTCTCTAGGAATGAGAGATTGGGTGATATGTGTGATTAATGTAAGAAAGATAGAGAGAGAGAGAAAATTGTATGTGAAAATATCTAAGTCCATATATATAGTACAAGCATAAAAATAGCTTTGGCCCTACAAATTTGACCAAAAATGAAATTTTTCACGTGCTAAAGTTGAACAAACCGCAAAGCAATCAAAGGTTCGCTCAAGCGATGAATGGGTGCTTGCAGGATCTCAATTTTTGAAAAACAGAGCTGTTCAGGTCTACCGGCCACTCAAGTGGTCAAAAGTGCGATTGAGCGAACTATGCTAACAGCTTTGGTGCTCGAATTTAAAATAGATATGACTCCCTCGTCCGAACTCCGTTTTGGGCCATTCTTGTGTCTAAATCGAAGCCCCGGAAGTAAGTTTTCCTATGGTTCTAACCTCACATAAAGATTCAAATTGTGCAGAGAGAAGAGCAAAAGAATGAAGACTACTCAAAAACAAATATCCGAATTTGGGATTTTTGGTCCAATCTCGCCCAACCATAATATTAACACCTCAATCAAGACTCTAAATATCTAGAAGGAGGTCCCAATCATAATAATAAAAAGGTCAAATGCAAACCTATCATTTCCAGGAGCCCGAAAACAATACAAGGATAAGGTAACAAGTACCAATTAACGTAAACAAATCGGGTTTAAGACCCAAAATGCTACATGGATATTGGTACGGGTATGTTATGGGTACGTTAATAGTGCAAGACCTAAAAAAATAGGATATGGGTACGGCTGGGTTACGTCAATAGAAATCAAGGTTCAATACCAAAACTAAGAGGAGAAATTACAAAAACAAAAGAGAAATCATAATTCAACAATACCAATACCAAAACCAAAGTAAAGTCTATAAGCTATTTTAATGGAGCTAAATAGGTGAAATTACAAAATAAAGTTTTATTCCAAAAGCAAGCGAAGCAAAACTTGAAATTTCAATTTTCATTTCCATCAACTTCATCATTGAATAATACATCTTTCATATTTAGCACATCAAGTAAATGATTTTCAATTTCAAGTAAATTAGAACTCTCTAATAAGTTAAACGTACCTCCACCAATGTCCTCTAGCTTGGTGTACCCCTGATGTACCCATCTTGTACCCAACTGCCAAAGAATGTATAAAACGTACTTGGTACACATGCAGCCCCATCAGGACACGTACTAGTACCCGGTACGAGTACGACAACATTTTCGGAGTACCCATGCTTCATAGATGGTGACATAACAACGGCGATGTTGATTAATTAATGCATCTATCTATTGCTATTATGTTTGGAATCTCTTATACTTTGTGGTTTAACATTGCAGAGCTACAAGGAATTGACAGGTACTTCATGGGCGTATGCCTACTTTGTTAGCTTCTATCTAGTAACGGTTTTGCTGCTTTTGAATTTGGTAAGCCTCTGTCAGTGCTGTTTAAATATTTGATTCATTTCTTGATCTAAGGTGTCGCAGAAATAAGATACTTCAGATACAAGATTCTGTTCTTTTTGTGTTTTGATGATCTTTTTTATTTAATATCGTAAAACATTGGCGCAAGCTTTGGAATTGAAGAAATGATAGAAAAGAAGAGAATGGTAAGAAGCATAGATTTGAGAAAAATCAGGCTTACATATTTTTAATGCTCAAACCCTTGGTTGTTTGAAGAGGATTCCTCTACATCTCCAATGATGTGAAACAAAAATACATATACATTTTGATATAACCAATTTTGAATGGACAATTAAAACTCACCCCATGTGATTTTGGACAAAAGTACAATATTAACACCAGCATATGCCAATGTAAGATTTCTAAATAACCTGTATATTCAATTGTGATTAAAATATGAAGAGTACATCTAATTATATAGCAATTCTAAACTTAAGACTAAAACGGAAATATGCATAATTCTAAATACACAAAATTTTTACAGTCTCAGAATTATAGTTGTCAAATCGAGATTCATATCGTGAATCGAAATGGCCTCATATCAAATTGCGAATCGAATCAAATCAAATCGTGAATCGTAAAGATTCGGTCTCTTTTTCTAAATTACTTAAAAACATATATCGACATATTTTGATGACAAATATATCTTATGAATATGAAATATTTAGACTTAAATCAATGAAAATATTATTTTCAATGATCATCACGTAGTTTAATAGGTAAGAAGTTAACAAAGGTTCTTATGAGAGATCATCATCTTACCTTTTTCTTTTTTAGATATTTTTTATCAACCATTCTTAATAAATATAATAATCAAATAGACAAACTATCAATTTTCAAAGTAACAATAATTAACAACGATATTGATATTTGGACAATAAACATATACACTTTTCCAAGTAACAATGAGCAAATCATAATTATTTAGAATCTTTTATTTTAAAGCCTAAAACATTTTAAAATATATAACTGACCTCACACATGTAATATTCAATTTAATAAAATAGCAATAAATAATTCATAGTATAACTTTAATCTTAAACATCTTTAGAAGATATATTATGATTTTTTAAAGGGGAAAAAAATGAGAAGAAAGGTTAAAAATATGTTGGGCTTGACTAAATCTGGTTGGATCCTATTAAACACTCTATGATCACTAAAATAACAAAAAATCATGTGTATATGTTGGTTATTTTGGTACTAAACGGTATTAAAAGTTGCATTATGTCATTTTCACTAAAAAAATGGAGAAGAAAAGAGTAGAAAATATGTTAGACACAATACTTTCAAAAATTGTATGAATCGTAAAAAGTGAATCGAATCGTGAATTGATTATGAATCGTGCGATTCACTAGAGATTCACTTCCAAAATAGATTCACCTATAGATTCGTATCGATTTTGCAAAAATTGCAAATCGAATCCTGAATCAAATCGCAAATCGTAAGATTCTGATAACAGAGCTCAGAATATATACAAAATATAAACTAATATTCTCACAGTAAATGACCTTAATACCCCTCTGTCTTCTTCTTTTTCCTTCTCTTTTCATCCTTTAGAGAGATAGAAACGAATATACAGGGGCGTCACGTCGTGTCATCCATGGCATATGAAATTGCAAAGTCCAAAAACATTGTCTCTCAATGTGTTCAATTTTGTGATAAGTAATTTGAGGATAAGAAAAAGTTGAAAAGAGATTGACTTGTCATTACCAATTCACCCTTGATGTTTTCAAGTGAAAAAAATAAACTAAAAATAAATAATGAGGAGAGAGAGAGAGAGAGAGTCGTTTTGTTTTAGTTTTCTTCTTCATTATTCTGTAAGCAAATCGTATTACCAGTTTAAAAATACAGATTTGCATGTCAAATGACTGGTAAAAAACAATTATTACTTCTCATGGACTTTCAGTTTGGATGAGTGACTTTTGGTGCTCGCCCTAGCATTTGAATTTAGGGAACTTCAATAGGAATAGTGATGACTTTGGATTCATGGCCGTCTCTTACTTTTTCAACTGTTTTTCTTTGTTTGATGCAATTTTTGTGAGGTCCTCGTCAGTCAATCTACTGAGATAATGATTCACACATCATTGCTTCAATGTAATTTCAGGTTGTAGCATTTGTCTTGGAGGCATTCTTTGCTGAAATGGATCTGGAAACTTCAGAGACATGTGAAGACCCGGGGAAGGTTGGTACCTTTAACCTCCTTAAAAATAAAAATAAAAATGAAAATGAAAAAAAGGGAAAATAATAAAATCTAGTGTAGCAATAGGTGTCTAAGGTGAATGGAAATCAAACCTGCAAGATCTTTATGGAATGAACTCGTGAAATTGTAATTCCATTCACTCTATTACTCAACTCTACTCCAACAATTCTAATGGTATTTGCATGAACCCTTAATTCCAAAAGAGAGAGATTAAGGTCATAACCTTTGAAAATAAAGTTGACTGATCTTACACTTGAACTGGTAATTCTATTCACCTACTGTCAAGTCACTAAGGGAGGAATCCATCTAAAGTTTCTGCAAAATTGCGTTGCGATACATACAAACCTATAGTTCTCTGTTATTGCCATTCTGGTGATTAGGAATTAGTTTTCCACACATGTTAAAGAGCATATGATACTTGCCTGACTTTGGAAGTTCTTGAAGTTTGAAAGAGTGATTAATTCCCAATTACAAGCTGTTTGCACCGAGTACTGTCAGCAGTAAATATCATGTATTTTATATACTAGACATTATTCTCCATATATTGAGTAGTTTAGGTTTGTAGAAGTTCAAAATGGAAATTGCACTTAGTGGTCCTGTATTTCCTTTTTCTTTTTTCTGCATCATCACATCACTCTGATAGAACACATTGACATAAGCAGTCAATGCAGCATGCTTTAGTTCTATTAATAATAAGCCAACTTCAATTTCCTATTAAGAAAACTGTTTTAGAAACTAGTAGATTTAAATATGAAGCAACGTAAAATAAGCCAAATTTCTAATGACAAACCCCGTTTGTCAGGATGAGACCATTTATATGGGTTCTTAGAGTCAAATATTTTCTTTGCTTGGGGTACTTTTAGTATAATGTTGTCTTGACTAAGTATATTTTTTAACTTTTCCGATAAATAAAATAAAATAAAATAAAAAAAGTATATTTTTAACATTGAGCTGCACACAACCTTTTATGTATGATTAGACACATTGTATTGTTCTATATATATATGATCAAAGCTAAGAAATATCATTTGCCTTCTCAATGCAGGAAGGAGGAGAAACGTACAGGCGCCGTTACATCGGGTACATATTTCATAGAAGTTCTTATTCTGATAATATTTCATACATAATCATTGTCTCTTAAAATGATCTGAGTTGATGATATTGTTTGCATGGGTGCAGGTCAAAATCACGGAGTCAGAGAATTGATGTCCTCCTCCACCATATGTTAAGCACAGAGCTGGAACAAACGCAGTGCTCCAGTCCATAATTTTTTTGTTTCCATCCTGTTAACTGGTTTACGTCTCCGAATTTCCTTTCCACTTTAGAAAAAATCTTCTTGTCCATGCGTGTATGAAAATTTAAAAAGAAAAGTTGATCGTGAAAATCTGCTCTTTTACCTAAATCCAGAACAATATTATCAATCCCATACCCTATTATTCTGTAAACATTAGAAGATAAGTGACTAAGAATACAGTTTTGTAATAGTTTGACTTTCACTATTTTTGTTCATTTATTATTATTATTATTATTTTCCTGGAGAGAAGGGAGGAAATTAGCTTTAAATTATTTGAATACTTTTTTTTGAGAATGAAATTCTTTGAATTCTTGTTCAGGCCAAATTAGAAAGCATTTGCAAATTTGGATTTGTGAAGATATCCTACTTTGATCAGAGAAATTTCCATTTCTTTTGGAATGGAATCATCAATTATTTAAAGCAGATAGATACATTAATAAATAAAATTCCTCACTCTATTTTGCATCTAATTGAATTGTGTGGATTCCTCTTTTCCTTGTGTGGTTGAAAGGCATTCTTCACATCAAGTTAAAATAAGATATTTTTTATTTTTTTTGAGAAGGAAATTCTTTGAATGCTTGTTCAGGCCAAATTAGAAAGCATTTGCAAATTTGGATTTGTGAAGATATCCTACTTTGATCAGAGAAATTTCTATTTCTTTTGGAATGGAATCATCAATTATTTAAAGCAGATAGATACATTAATAAATAAAATTCCTCACTCTATTTTGCATCTAATTGAATTGTGTGGATTCCTCTTTTCCTTGTGTGGTTGAAAGGCATTCTTCACATCAAGTTAAAATAAGATATTTTTTATTTATTTATTTATTTGTAAGTATAACCCTTTCTGAAAATGGAGAATAGGAACAACAATGTAAAATTGAAAAAAATGGAATTTAAAAATAAAATAAAAAACAAGAGAGCTAGGAACTATTGAACTCTTGTTACTCTTCAATTTTCCATTGATATCCATAATAAATGGGGAAAAGAGGGACCTTAGGTATAAATTTTAAAAAGTAAATTTATTGTTCAATAGATCATATGAGAATTAATGACGTTATCATCAAACACTATAAAAACAAAAAAAAAATACTAATTGTTAACTTTCAATAATAATTTAAAAATTGTCACAAAGTCACTAATTATAAATTTTAGCGACAATTTAAAAAGTGTCACAAAAAAGGTATTACGTTTCAATTTTCAACGCTAGTTTGAAAAATTCATCATAGAAAAAGTCATTAATTGTAAAATTTAGTGACAATTTATAAAAATTGTGATAAAAAAATTACTAATTATTAATTCTTAATGACATAAAAAATCGTAACAAAAAATTATTTCTAGTGACGATTTTATTAGGATTTAACTTCAATAGAACTTTATGACAATTAAGTTAAATTATTAAGATCTATTGATAGTTTATTCTAGGGATTTTTTTTTTTCTTCAATATTCTTTGATTTCAAGCCACATATTAATCTTGTAAAAAATTGAGTAAATAGAGAAATGTTTGCTATCGAAATAAACCAATTACTGTCATATTACAAATGTCAAGAATTGATTTTTCAATATTTTCAACCTTTTGTGTCTAGGGGTGTAAATCTGACCCGGTCTAGCCCATGTCGGGCCTCGCGGACTCCTATCAAAATTCAAACTGGGCTAGGCTATGGGCCAGAAAATTAGACCCAGGCCTAGGCCCAGGGGTATTCAAGCCTTGGGTGAGCCTGGGCTCAGGCTTGGGCAGACCTAAACAGATTTTTTAGTTTTTTTTTATTTTTCTACCAAAATTTTATTATTTTTCACTAAAAAAGACATTGGGTCTCGGGAGGGCCGGGCCTTGAGTGGGCCTTAAGCAAGCCGATGGGTAGGGCCATAGGGCGGTCCAAGCGGGCCTAGACCACGGGCCAAGTTTCAAAATGATGGCACAAGATCTCGGGCTGGGCTCAGGCCCAAATGGTCGGGGCCCACCCCGGGCCGCCCATGGGGCTGTAGGCCATTTTTACACTCCTATTTGTGTTTGGCAAATATTATTTGTAGCTTATTTCTCTAATTGCAACTTAAAAATAGAATTGATTATCTAAAAATCTTATTTATAAATGTTATGGTAGCTCAGGTCTTATCTACGATTTTTGGTATCAATAAGTTATATTTAGTAAAATTGATAATATTATCATTTTTTCTCAATTTTTTAAAATTAAGAACATTATCAATTTTACATAGTAATGTGTAGATAATTATTTCATTAACTGATGAAAAAAATAGAGTATGAAATTAAACGTTTTTGTTCTTCTACTTATTGGTTTGATTCAACTATCTAATAAAATTGAGAACTTTATCAATTTTTTTTCCGTTTTAAAACTGAGAACATTATCTATTTTTTTTTAAAACATCAATGTTCTATCATTATGCTTTGCACAAAATATAATTCTGTTTTTTCAATTTTTTCCAAAAGTTTTTTTTGCACATAATTCTTTTCTAAGTTTTTTTTTTTTTTAATAAATTTGAAAGTTGATGTTTTAAAGTTATAATAATCAAAATAAATGTCAAATCATCATGTTCTTTTATAGATAATCATAAATTATGAACAATCATTGTTTGGAAGGTAATTTCAACTATTAAAAATTTAATAGGACTTGAAAGTCTAAAAAGAGTGATTCTACTTATACCACAATTTTACTTTTTTACACCCTTCATATGGGGAAATGATATTTTCACATATCCTTTTATCTCTGTGCACATCATAACTTAACTCACACACTTAATGAATTTGAAAAAAAAATGTTTTACTCAGCAATTCTTTATACCAGAAATACCCACTTCTTTATCCTTCTACCACTAACCCTAATCTCTAACCCTAACTAGTCACTGTCGCCATCTTCACCATAGCCGCCGCCGTAGCCCATCCCAAAATACTACGACGCACTATTTCCAAACTTTCTATTGCCTATACAACTAGAGAGTTCACACTTGTATTGCACCCTAATTGATATAATTTATTTTGAAAGATCAAACCGCTGCATGCAGTTGAAAAGAAAAACTACAAACTTGACATAGCTAATTTCATCTCTCTGGATAAGCTTTTTAAAGGGCTTCTAACCATTGATTGCACTTGTTCCTTTTCTACATTAAAGTGTCTCACCTTTCTATATCTATATGGGAACATGCTATCATCAACAATGCTTGATCTGCTACCATACGGATGGAGTTATTGCTTGTAACCCAATAATCTTGAATTCATACCCCTACTGAAGCAGTCAAGAGAGGAGGCTCGAGGTGGTGCGGCAACTAGTTAGGGTTAGAAATTTTTGGGTGGCTTGGAAATTAGGGTTTTGGATGTGGAAGATAAAAGCATATTTTGGTATTTTTATTTTAGGACAAAAATGTAATTAAATTTTTTTTTTCATTAAGTGTGGATTGAGAGAACTTTATGTGTGGAAATAGAATTTTCCCTTCATATGAGATGTTTTTATTTATTTATTTAATTTTTTTTAGTGCTGCTATTGGAGACCCATAAATTATTTTAGACCTCCCAATTTTAAATTTATTTTATTACAATAATAACCTCAAATAAAATTACTAAAAAGGACATCATTAATTTTGGAATACGTTATCTCACAATTAAACCTACACACCCACTACATCATGGATTAGGATTTATGAGAGCACCCACCTCTATCACCACCCATTCATCTTTCCCAAATCCCACATTCAAAACCTACAAACTCTCAAAACCTGGAAAACCCTTTGGTGGCAATATTCCAGCGGTAACAGTGGCAAGCATTTGACTACCTACACTTCTTTGGCAATGGCAATATTCCGGTAGTAACAGTAGTAACCGTTTGGCGAAATACAAGCCCAAACATTACTTATTTTTTCGAGATGGGGTTTCCAAACAAATAAGTAATGTTCAGGAATGCAGGTTCGAAAATTGAAATTTCTTAACACATTGAATGGTCAAAATTTTTAACACTTGCAAAAGTTATCGGAAATAGCCGAAATTCATTATCTGGTTCAAAAGTTATTCCTTCATCGTGTAGCTTTAATAATATTGCTACATAATTCTCTGTTGAACTCACAATTTTATAATATCTGCAAACAAAACCAACCAAACCAATTATTATAATTTTTTTCCCTGCAAGAGAAGAAATTATTACGAGAAAATTAAGAAATTATGTGTGTGTGTGCATATATATATATATATATATATAGAGAGAGAGAGAGAGAGCATATCAACTGTGACAATGGTGGATGAAGCAACATAGACAGTAATCACATTGGCTCTTCTTATTCTTGGTGGGTTTTGTTAGGGTTTTTTGGAAGAGGGATTTTTTTGGGGTGAGGGGGGTGTGCATTCAATGGGTGAAATGTTTTCACAAGAATAATTTTTGTATTATTTAGGGGGGGAATTTTGAGGGTTTCAAAATTTATAAGTGGGGAGTCCAAAAAACTGGGGGGTCCAAAATAATTCATAGGGTGCTAATAGCACCACTCTTTTTTTTCTTGCAATTTTACCCATGTGTGAAATTACCTCTAGGGACAAAACACTAAAATTAAATATATTTTATTATCTCCTTACACCCCTTAGTCTTCAATCCCTACTCCTCTTCTTCCTTTCTCAATTTTTCTTCCCTCTTATACATCTCTTTTCAAAAAGTGAGAATCATAGTGTTTTGATCATAGAAGAAAGTAATGGATGAAGAAACGGTGGCGAAGAACCATCAAAAAAGTGAAATAATGAGTTTTTTTATTTGTTTGGTAGGGTTTTGTTTCATTTTTCTAGACTGTTCTTTGACTTTTGTTCGATGTTTCAAAATTGAACAAAATAAAATAGTCCGACATCACATTGCCGAACAAAAAATATATGTCTGGTTACCAACTGCTGAATAAAAGATACATTTCCAATAACCCAAGGTCGAATTTTTTTAATTTGTTTAGCTACTCATTACTGTGTATTTCCAGTTTGATTTTTTTTATATTGTTTATTTTTTTGCTTGGAAGGATTGTGCTTCTACTCATTGCAACAATACAAATACTGCATTATCAGTGGACTCCAGTCATAAATTTATTACAGACAAGATTTGTTAAGTTTTTTGTTATGAATATAATTTTTTCTTGTTTTTAATTTGTATTGAGTTTTATTAATAATTTGATGTATAAATGTATTTATTGTCTTTAGATTTTTAGTAATCGTCAAGCATTAATTAAATGGGCTTCTGACGTTGGAAAGAAGACTGGATTTATCATTGTTATAAAGACATCAGATGCGGGAGGTAAT